GGTAGAAAAAGAAATACTCAAGGAATCCTCTCATCTCAGCCTCCCTAGTAGCTGGGACTACCAGTGCATGCCACCACACACAGCTAATTATTTTTTTTTTTCAGAGACAGAGTCTCACTATGTTGCCTAGGCTGGTCTTGAACTGCTGGCCACAAACAATCCTTTCAGCTTAGCCTCCCAAAGCAATGGGATTACTACAGGTATGAGCCACAGCACGTGGTCTAAGATAACACTCTTAAAACTTGAGGAGCCAAGGACCCAACACGGCAACACAACATTGAAGAACAAAGCTGGAGGATGCACACTACTCAACTTCAAAACTTATTATAAAGTTACCGTAATCAAGACAGTGCAGTATTGTCAAAAGAACAGACAAACAGATCCATGGAACAGAATAAAGAGCCCAGAAATAGACCCACATAAATATAGTCAACTGACCCTTGGCAAAAAGGCAAAGGCAAAACAATGATGCAAAGATAGTCTTTTCTTTCTTTTTTTTTTTTCTCTTTACTCCCGGGGTCAGCTCAAAAGATAGTCTTTTCAGCAAATGATTCTTGGACAACTGGACATCCACATCAGAAAATGAAGTCAGACACAGACCTGACACCCTTCACAAAAATTAACTCAGAATGGATCACAGTCATAAACGTAAAATGCAAAGCTATAAAACTCTTACTAGATAACATACAATAAAATCTGAATGACCTTGAGTTTGACAATTGCCTTTTAGGTACAACACCAAAGGCACAATCTATGAAAGAAAGAATTGATAAACAGACTTCCACTCAATTTTGCTGTGAACCTAAACCTGCTCTAAAATAAAATCTTGTCTTTTTTAAATTGAGGACCCCTAAGAGTTTTTGTTTATGTGAGTTTTATTTATTTACATTTACCACACTTGAGAGTCAAATTGAGGAATTAAAGAAAGTATTGAGTTTGCCCACGGGTGTGTGAAGAGAAACAATCAGTGTGGAGGCCACAGGGGACTCGCCAGGATGAGCAGCACCTTAGCTAAAATCGCGGAGATAGAAGCTGAGATGGCTCGGACTCAAAAGAACAAGGCCACAGCACACCACCTAGGGCTGCTTAAGGCTCGTCTTGCTAAGCTTTGTCGAGAACTCATTACTCCAAAGTGGGGTGGTGGTGGAGGTCCACGAGAAGGTTTTGATGTGGCCAAGACAGGTGATGCTTGAATTGGATTTGTTGGTTTTCCATCTGTGGGGAAGTCAACACCGCTTAGTAACCTGGCAGGGGTGTATTCTGAGGTAGCAGCCTATGAATTCACTACTCTGACCACCGTGCCTGGTGTCATCAGATACAAAGGTGCCAAGATCCAGCTCCTGGATCTCCCAGGTATCATTGAAGGTGCCAAGGATGGGAAAAGTAGAGGTCGTCAAGTCATTGCAGTGGCCCGAACCTGTCACTTGATCCTGATTGTTTTGGATGTCCTGAAACCCTTGGGACATAAGAAGATAATTGAAAATGAACAGGAAGTCTTTGGCATTCGCTTGAACGGCAAATCCCTCAACATTGGCTTTAAGAAGAAGGACAAGGAAGGCATTAACCTCACAGCCACTTGCCCCCAGAGTGAGCTGGATGCTGAAAACTGTGAAAAGCATTCTGGCCGAATACAAGATTCATAATGCCGACGTGACTCTATGTAGTGATGCTATAGCTGATGACCTCATTGATGTGGTGGAAGGAAACAGAGTTTATATCCCCTGTATCTATGTGTTAAATAAGATTGACCAAATCTCCATTGAGGAATTGGATATCATCTATAAGGTGCCTCACTGTGTACCCATCTCTGCCCATCACCGTTGGAATTTTGATGACCTACTGGAAAAGATCTAGGACTATCTGAAACTAGTGAGAATTTATACCAAACCCAAAGGCCAGTTACCAGATTACACATCCCCAGTGGTGCTTCCTTACTCCAGGACCACAGTGGAGGATTTCTGCATGAAGATTCATAAAAATCTTATCAAAGAATTTAAATATGCTCTGGTCTGGGGTCTCTCTGTGAAACACAATCCTCAGAAAGTGGGTAAAGACCATACGTTGGAGGATGAGGATGTCATTCAAATTGTGAAGAAGTGAAACCTTCCCCCTTTCCCAACTGCCGGGTGAACCACAACAACTTTCCCCATGATCAAGCACCCTACCCCAGTTCTTTCTGGCTTTGACAGTCACTGGATCAGGATCCAGGGGAGGGAGATGGAGGCACCCAAACTGGAACTTCATTTGTCTTACCTTGGTGTCACTATGTATGTTGAACTGCATAAAAGACCTGGTAGGCTGGTCAGCTACATGCAAAAAAAAAGAAAGTATTTACTTTAACATAATAAGCCAATTATATGTTAACACAAATAATATTTTTATGAAAAATAACTGTTTTCCAAAACAAAAAAAATGAGTGAGAAGGGTGCCACCATTTTACATGTTTACACATCTCTTCCATGTCTTGCTTCATAGAAGACAGCTGGATTCTCACGTCTGCTCCTACATCCAGTCTGTTGCATACCATACATCATTAAGCTTCAGGAAAACACATCTGTGCGTTTGTAAAAGGAGAGTAAAAATGGCAAATGATGTCAGTACCATTATGAAAATAGTTTTGACCATGCAGATCCCCTGAAAGTGTGTCAGGGAGCCCCAGGCAGTGCAGTGCTAGTAAATGTTTAATAATCTGCTGGATTGGCGGGGCGCGGTGGCTCACGCTTGTAATCCCAGCACTTTGGGAGGCCAAGGCGGGTGGATCACGAGGTCAGGAGATAGAGACCATCCTAGCCAACATGGTGAAACCCCATCTTTGCTAAAAATACAAAAGTTAGCTGGGTGTGGGGGCATGCATCTGTAATCCCAGCTCCTCAGGAGGCTGAGGCAGGCGAATCACCATTGAACAAGGGAGGCGGAGGTTGCAGTGAGCTGAGATTGCACCATTGCACTCCAGCCTGGCAAAAGAGTGATATTCCGTCTCAAAAATAAATAAATAAATAAATAAATCTGTTCAACTGGGGGATAGCTCCAGTTTGCAGCATTTGCCAATTTCTGTAGTTAAATACTTCCACTATGGCTAATTTCAAGGTAACAATGCAAGAGGTCACTGAACTGGAGTTGGGAAAGAGATGCACACAAAAAGGCATTGGCTCTTACCTGAATTCATCTGAATTAAGTAAAAGCCCATTAAGTGCTTTCCTAGTAAGAGCTGCTCCAGCACTCCAGGGGCCCTTGAAGCACATTTTGGAAACCACTGCTCTACTAGGCTGCTGTGTGGGCCCGTGTCCTGTCAGCTTTGTCCTGGCAGGCCTAGCACATGAGACTCTCAGTCTCCTTGCTCCTGTTGAATAGCCAGCAGAGGGCTGAATGCCCCATCCCTCCTCCCCATCCATATGTGTATTTCCCAGACCTATTCAACAGGCCTAAGTCATTCACTGACCTTGTTTACTCTCTAATCAGTTATGGTCCAGTATTTGTTTTTATGAAATTGAGTTTTTAATCTCACTACACATTGTAAAAAAAATAAGCATTTATGTTCGGTTATGAGATGTGGACTTGAGGTGTCTTTCCGGGTGAGGTTCCAGTATATAAACAGAGCTGTGATGCCTCCCAGGGCAGGGTCTGTCCTCCTCTGAAGCTTTCTCAAGCCTGGACCCACTGTGCTCACTGACATGAGAGAGTCCAACAGCAGAACTAGAAAGGCTGATGCTTCTTTCCTAACAAACATATGTATCTAATTAACCAGGTACTTTCAGATGGCACTCTGTCTTTCCCAGACAGCTATTTAGTCGAAATGAGTAAGCACTCCATTTTATTAAAATCTTTCCTCTTTGTGTATAATAGCTTATGTAACAGGAACAGCAAAGAAGTTCAGTTCTTGCAAATCAGAGGAAAAAAAATCAAAACTGCTAAATATAGAGCTTATATATCACCTTTCTTCAGTCAACGGCATTCTTACTCCTGCCATCAATGGGATGTACAGTGTGGTATCCTACTGAAGCGTTAAGCCAAAAGAGACAAGAGAAAATCATATCCCATCTATTCCCTAAGAACTCTTGCTGGGTTTCTTTGAAATGTCATCTTCTTGTTTCATAAATTGATGCATCTTTTCCATGAGAATTTTTTAGGAATTCCAAAGGAAAGCTGTGGATGTCACCATTTAAATTCCCCACTTACATATCTCTATCGATTAATTTATGAGGAACATATAATAAACATTCTCACATTCTGAAGCAGCATAAGTTTAGCCTTCAGTTACAAAAAAAAGGACATATATTTTGCAGAGTTTAAGAAAGGTTTAACAAAGAAAGGTAGATCCTGGTCTGTCTGTCCATACCACCTCCATACTCACCCCTACAACATCCAGTTTGGATTATATATTATATCATAATGCATAAGAAATAAGTCCATGAACTTTGTCTCCAGGATTTTCAAATTCTGATTCTTGGGGAATTACTGATTACTACAGACAAAATCTCAGAGTGAAAAGGGCACAGGACCAGAGACCTCTATCTCTGCTCTGCCACTCACCATTTATGAAAGCTTGGGCAGGGCACCCCCACAGCCCATTCATCTGCACACCCCTGCAATGATCCTGGGTTAGGTCCTGAGAATGCAGAGGCTGTGACGTTGCGTCTGCCCTTGAGGCCCTCCAAGGACAGAAGAAATAAGGCACAAAAATGATCAATTACAATATCCCAGTAGCAAGTACCATGAACAGAGATCCAGACAAAGAACTGGTACAGCCGACGTGCGGGCTAGCTAACAATTTCTGGGGTGTCTGTGCTGATTTCACAGAGAAGAAGAATCTCAACTGGTCTTGAAGAAAAAGGAGGCCTTTTCTAGATGAAGGAGATTAAAGAATTTCCCAGTAGCACAAACATTCTAGAATGGTTAGCAATTAACTGTAGCTCAAGTGGAATTAAGGGAATATGCCAGTCGTTTGCCTTTTTGCTCACATCCACTCACTCTTGCTCTGCTTAGGTCTGCACCATGATGTTGGGTGAAATTTGACGCCACAAATTGTTTTCCAGGCTCCCAGGCTTCTGGCTAGGTTCAGCCAATGAGAGGCACTGGGGTGGGAAGGGTGGGAAGAGGGAGAAGCCAGGGGATCTCTCCCCCATCCCTAGGTGCTGGGCAGCATCTCAACAGTGACTGGTGCTCCTCCACAGATCTAATGACAACAGATGACCCCTCCCTCTGTGGACGGGCTGTTAGAAGGCAAACTGTCCATTCCTCAGCTCTGCTCAATCTCACTGGCAGTGTTGGCCCACTGCCTAATACCCACTTCAGCAGCATGGGAAGGATACAAATATGTTATTCCCCAAACCCACCCAAGGCCCACCAGTGGTTCCTGGGCTTAAAGAAGAGAGACTGTGGTTGGTGATAAAGAAAATTTAAAATGTCCAGTCCCAAGATGCCCTGGGTGGGTTCCGGATGCTCTGCTGCTAGGATAGGTAGTTCCCCTCTCAACATCATGGCTGGCCTTGAATCCTGTGATTCTGTCTTCCAGGAAGAATAGATACTACAAGGAAGCAAAAAAAAAAAAAGGTGGGGGAGCTGGGCACAGTGGCTCATGACTGTAATCCCAACAGTTGGGGTGGCCAAGGCAGGAACTGCTAGAGCTCAGGAGTATGAGACCAGCCTGGGCAACATGGCAAAACCCCATCTCTACAGAAAATACACAAATTAGTAGGGTGTGGTGGTGCACTTCTGTAGTCCCAGCTACTTGTCGGGGGCTGAGGCAGGATGATTGCTTGAGCCTGGGAGGTCAAGGCTGCAGTGTGCCGTGTTCATGCCACTGCACTCCAGCCTGGGTGACAGAGAAAGACCCTAACTTGAGAAAGAAGAGGAGAAGAGAAGAGAAAGGAGAAGAGAAGAGGGAAAGGGAAAGAGGGAGGAATGGAGGGAGGAAGGAAGA